AGGGCTGCTCTTCAGCGGGACCAGGGCGGGCTGGAGACGCGTCCCACGGCACGCAGGGTGGGATACCCTCCTGCCCCAGGACCGGCCGTGGAAGAGGACATCGGTGTCCCGGGGGCGGCCGGTTGTCATGAGTCGGCGGCGGGACCGTGCGCCGAAGGCATCAACCGCGTACGGGGCTGCGTTACGGAGAGGGGAGGGACTGCTCCCCTCCGTCGGCACGCGTGAGGCCACGTCTGGGTGCGGGGACCAGTTCGGACCGTGCCAGTAGACGGCAGACAGGGTCAGGCCACCGAACGGAAGTTACGGAATCCCAGAATGAAGTGGCAGAAGCGTTAAGGTTGGAAAAGGTCTTTACGATCGTCAAGTCCAACCATCAAGCCAACGCCCCCGCGCCAGGATGGATGGGAAGAGATTGGGATTATCCAGCCTGGAAAGGAGGAGGATCGAACCGCTGTCTGCAGCTGCCCAGCAGGGTTAGAGAGGGGACAGAGCCAAACACCAGATTTCAAGATAATTTTCGTCAAGGACTTGAGGGACCTTCATCCAAACCCCTGTCTCTGTCGTATATTCTCACGGAAAAAGTCCGACCTCTTGCTTGACTAAAGCCCAGCGCGTCAGGGATGACGTCGAGCCACCGTCAAAAGGAGCAGTCCCGTTTCTGTGTGTTTATTCCCAATTCTGCCACCCCCTTTACGCACCGAGTCAGGGTCCGACTGAGCCGCCAACGACCCCAACTCCTGGCTTGCTGATGACTTTTCACCACCTCTATTTCCACAGACTTGCTGTGTTTGGCAGCACAGAAAACTCGGGTTTATCATCTCCCTGTGCAGTGGGTTTTAGAGAGGAGCAAGGATGATTTTTCCTTCCTCCGGTTATTTTAAGCAACTTCCAAAAAAAAAAAAAAAAAAAAACCACAAACCCATGGAAAAAAACCCCAAAAGACCCACGAGGCAGAAATTACTTAGAATTGCACATTTACTTTTAATTCCCTGCTGGTGCAAGTTTGCAGGCACCCAGGAACAGTCAAACCCTATTTTAAGGCATGGAAATGGTCCTATTTTCCACTAAAGGCCCGGAATTTGAACACCGCTGCCCTTGCATTTGAGGTTTGGGCTGGAGGAAGGAGGTTGTCCTTGATGGCCGGGCAGGTGCCAGCTCCAGAAAGGAGCTGGATTTTGTATTAAACAAATTATTTTTTGTATTTTGCATTAAACAAATAACCCATCACTGAGGTTGGGATATGCCGGGAGAGTCCCCCTTCCCTTGATTCCTCTTCCAGGTTGTCCCTGGCATATGGTCTCTCTGGTCCCACCAATTCCCCTCTGTCCCGTGGCTCCAACTCCAGCCATGGTAGCATCTGGGATGGAGAGATGGGTCTAAGGCTGTCCAGACCCTCCAGCCCAGGACAGGAATTTCTGGAGAGTCATCCCAGCTTGGAGCCGTGCAAAAGCTTTGCAGAGCTCCTGCTCCACACGGCGTTTTGCGTCGTCCGGGTTCCTTGTAGCACCCGGAGCCGCAGAGGCTTACGGTGGATTTGGGACAAAACTCAGCCTCTGGTTTGTTTCCCGGGGGTGAGTGGATGGGATTTTTATTTTTTTTCTCCCGCGCCTTAGGAAAAGAGTTTGAGGTGAGCATCCTCCATCGCCAAGAACCAGGGGTAGACTGTCTCCCCTTTGAAAGAAGCCCGCAGAAAAGCAAAGACCTGTGCCTTGCTCAGAGCATCAAAAAACACCACCCTCCCTTCCCGACAGTCCAAGCAGACCCGTATCCGCTGGAGAGCGCTGCGTAGGGTCAAGGGGGTGACACTGGGAGAGGTCAGAGCCTTGTACCCGTCTTTGCTATGACCCAGCGCCCATACTCCCGCTTCCGGAGCCAGGGGAAACCACGTCTCCCTCGGCACCGACTCCTTAGCCACCCCGATGGCCCGCACGCCTTGTCCGCAGATCTCCACCTCCCAGCAGTGCCGGCCCGCCGCGAAGCCCCTGGAGCCCAGCACGCAGGGGTAGACCTTGAACCTCTCCGGGTTGGCGGGCAGGTCCTTCTCACACCTTCCCACCACGTCACGCCGCAGTCTTCCAAGAGGCATAGCTCCGCGTTGGCCGTCTTCGAGTCCAGCGTCACCCGTGCTGGAGGGGGAGAGGGAGTCAGGCTCACCACAGTAGATTTTGGGGGGCACAGGGCTGCTTCCCTCCCTTCCCATCCACCTGATCCAGTTGGGACCCCTCCGGGTATCGCCTCGTGGTGCGACCGGGGTGGGAGGAGGAGGAAAGGAGGCAGCAGAGCAGTTTGGGGTAATCTTTAGGGGCAGGAGAGCTTGTTTCACTACGTTTTGCGATTTAATATGCTGGATTGGTTGGGCACGCGCTCGGCTCACTTACTTGTTAAAGGAAGCTTGAACTCCAGTATGCCTAGAGGAAAGAGAAAAACGTGAGAGGCAGAAAGATAAATTCCCAATTTCTGTGAAAATCCAGGGAGTCCGGAACGTTGCTCATTTGCAATCTCCTTGTTGGATCTTGCAAAAAAAAAAAACCCAAAAAATCCAAAAAACAACCCTCGTTCAACAACCAGGTTGTATTTCTTTCACACGGCTTCATTCCACCCCTACCCCCCGAGAAGCGCGATGACGTTTTCCTTTCCGGACTTGCGCACGGTACCTTGGAATTTCTCCATCGCCTCCTCGACGACTGCCGTTTTCTCTGTGAAATCACAGAATTTCTTTTCCAGCTCAGGGGAGATATTGAGCGGCTGCGAGAACATTTCCCGCTCGCACCTGGAAGGAAGGAGGGGACATATTTACGCCTGGTTGTAGTTCGCTACTCAACGCTTTATCAGCAGTCGGTGGGGAGAATTAGTGGAGGGAAGATGATGGGTCTGCGCCGTGCCGCACGTCTTGGCAAATCACACGACGCCATCGCACATCACCCTTGTAGATGTTTAATGATTTGCTTCAGCTGCCAGAGGAGGAGGTGGTTATGTCAGGGTCCCAATGGGCACTAACATCCCTGAGCAGACCCACCTGGGACCCCACACCCCCACCCGTGGTCCAGGGGCTCTATTTAAGCCCAGCCCTGATGCCTTTGGCAAGCCACCTTGGAGGAGCGACCACCTCTTGGCTTGCCCTGCCCTCTTGCCCTGCCCTCTTGCCCTGCCCTCTTGGCTTGCCCTCTTGGCTTGCCCTCTTGGCTTGCCCATGGAGCTGCCCGGTGCTCTGGGCTGCTCTCCCCTCCGGCTCGGGAGATACGTGATTTCTCCCAGTATCCCGCCGCTCGATTGCGGAGAAATTTTTCTCGGATGAGGACCACGTACCTGCTCAAGGTGGTTTTAATGTCCTAGATGAGAGAGAAAAAGAGACTTGGTGACCCGGCGTGCCTCCCCTTGGAGTAACGGGCTTTCACGCCAGGGAAGTCCCTCTTTGAGCACGTTGGGGTGTCAAACCAAGAGCTGGAGGCCTTCACAGCGCTTTGGGGAAGCCCGGGGTCTCACCTTCAGGAGTTCACACTCGGGCTGCTGGCATACCCTCTCCATCTCGCCGGTCAGCGTGCCCAGGCTCGCCACCTCCTCCGAAAGCCCGGTGAGGATTTCTCTGTGCGCGTTCGTTATCTCTGCGCCCAGCCGGGTCAGCAGAAAGGACTCCTGCTCCTCCAGGAACGTCTGCAGCTGCTTAAATTTGGTCACGATCTTCTCCTTTTCAGCTTCTGTCCTCTTCTGCCGAGGGCAAGCCAAAGCCGGTCCCGGGAAGGAGAGAGCAGGACAAGAGCATCAAGAGCCAACGGTGGGTCTTAGCGGGATCCACCCAAAAGATGCCTTTGGGGAAGACGCTCCTCCTCCTCGCCCACCCACGGGAGAGAGGAAGAGACGTTCCTCCTCTCTTCTCCCGTTGCCCTGCCAAGGAAACGCG